AGGCCACACTGCTGGTAGCTGCAACAACCTGGATAAACATCACAGACCTAGACACATGTGCATATACTAAATGACTCCATTGATATGAAGTTCAAGAACAGATACAACCAACCCACAGTGAAGGAAGTCAGAAAGGAAGGGTCGTCATTGGCTGGGGAGGGTCATGGAGGTACTCCTCAGGACCTTGAAATATAACTTTATATCTTCACGTGGGTGGTGATTACACAGGTTTATACTTCGGCGAACGCCACTGAGCTGAACACTTTCTCTCAGAGAATGTTAGGTTCTTTCCTATAAGTTATAGTTAAATTTCAAAGTATATTCAGTCTTTAGAATTTTATAAGCTTCCTTTTAAAAATAGGACACACCTGCCCTGGCTGGTTTGGCTCAGTAGTTAGAGCGTTGGCCTGCAGACCAAAGGGTCACGGGTTTGATGCCCAGTTAAGGGCATGTACCTGGGTTGCAGGTTCTATCCCCAACCCGGTCCCAGTCAGGGTCATGCAGGAGGCAACCAATCGATGTGTCTCTCTCACATCGATGTCTGTCTGTCTCTCTCTCTGCTCCCCCCCTCCCCCCAGCTTCCACACTATCTTAAAAAAATCAATGGGAAAATGTCGAGTAAGGTTAACCAAAAAAATAAAATAAAAATAGGATACACTTGCATAAAAGAGAATAAATCATAAGAGTACTGCTGATGAGTTATCACAAAATGATCGCCTCCTGTACCTGCCACTCAAGACAGGAAATCAGATGGTAGGTCCCCTCAGGAGCCCCCATCCTCCGAGTCACCACCCTGTTCTCTCCTCCAAACCTCCAACGTCAGTGTTGACTGTTTTTTAGCTTTACATGAATGGAATCCCAAAGCATGCTTTCCTTGGTGTTGGGTTTCTTTTGCTCAACATCACTGTGAGGGTCATCCATATGGCATGTAGCAGTCATTTACTAATTTTCATATATAGAGATATATATATTTTTTTAATATTTAAAAATTTATTGGAAAGAAAGAGAAAAACATCAATTTGAAGCTCCACTTACTTATGAATACATCAGTTGGTTTTTTTTTCTGTTTTATTTTTTTATTAATTTATTTTTGTTACAGATGTTTCTCCTTTTTTCCTCATTGACACCCTCCTCCCCATCCCTCCTCCCCATCCCTCCACCCCGTCCCCAGCTTTGTTGTCCGTGTCCATCAGTTATGCGTACCTGTATATAAGTTCTGTGGTTTATCTCTCCCAACCCTACCCCTCTTCTGAGGGTTGTCAGTCTGTACCCGACTTCAACGTCTCTGGGTCTACCCTGTTCCTCAGACTGTTATGTTCATTATATTCCGTATATAAGTGAGATCATGTGGTATTTGTCTTTTTCTGCTTGGCTTATTTCACTTAGGATAATACTTTCCAGGTCCCTCCATGTCGTCTCAAAGGATAAGAGATCTTTCTTTCTTACAGCTGCATAGTACTCCACTGTGTATGTGTACCACAACGTTTTTATCCACTCATCTACTGATGGACACTTGGGCTGTTTCCAGATCTTAGCTATTGTAAATAGTGCTGCTATGAACATGGGGGTACATATAGTCTTTCTGATTGGTGTTTCAGGCTTCTTAGGGTATATTCCCAGAAGTGGGATCACTGGGTCAAATGGCAATTCAGTTTTTAATTTTTTGAGGTAACACCATATTGTTTTCCATAGTGGCTGCACCAGTCTGCATTCCCACCAGCAGTGTATTAGAGTCCCCTTTTCTCCACACCCTCGCCAACACTTGTTGTTTGATGATTTGTTGATGGCGGCCATTCTGACAGGTGTGAGGTGATATCTCATTGTTGTTTTAATTTGCATCTCTCTGATGATTAGTGATGTTGAGCATTTCTTCATATGTCTCTGGCCATTTGTATGTCCTGTTTGGAGAGATGTCTATTTCGTTCCTCTGCCCATTTTTTTTTCTTTTTTTAATCCTCACCCGAGGACATTTTTCCATTTTTTGTTCAGGTAGAGTGGGAGGGAGAGAGAGGAACAGAGAGAGAGAAACATCGATGTGAAGGGACACATCGAGTGGCCGCCACCCGCACAACCGACCAGGGCCGGGGACAAACTGCAACCGAGGTATGTGCCCTTAGCGGGAACCGAACCCGGGTCTCTCAGGACCACAGGCCGACGCTCTAACCGCTGAGCCAAACCGGCCAGGGCCCTCTGCCCATTTTTTAATTAGGTTCTTTGTCTTCCTTTTGTTGAGTTGTATGAGCACTCTATATATTTTGGAAATTAACCCCTTATCTGATGTATCATTGGCAATTATGCTCTCCCAAACAGTGGGTTCCCTTTCCATTTTGATGGTTGTTTCTTTTGCTGTGCAGAAGCTTTTTAGTTTCATGTAGTCCCATGTGCTCATTTTTTTCTTTCTTTCTGTTGTCTTAGGTGATGTATTAGTGAAAATTCTGCTGCGTGTGATGTCCACATCATACATTTTGTTGCCTACATTTTCTTCTAGGATTTTTATGGATTCACGGGTCACATTTAAGTCTTTTATCCATTTTGAGTTTATTCTTGTGTATGGTGTAAAATGATGGTCTAGTTTCATTTTTTTGCTTGTAGCTGTCCAATTTTCCCAACACCATTTATTCAAGAGGCTGTCTTTACTCCATTGTATGCTCTTGCCATCTTTGTTAAATATTAATTGAGCATAATGTCTTGATTCAATTTCCGGTTTCTCTGTTCCACTGGTCTATGTGCCTGTTTTTGTGCCATTACAAGGCTGTTTTGATTACAGTAGCTTTGTAGTATAACTTAATATCTGATACTATGATCCCACCTACTTTGTCCTTCTTTTTCAAGATTGCTGTGGCTATTCGGGGTCTTTTTTGGTTCCATATGAACTTTTGAAGTATTTGTTCTAGTTCTGTGAATTATGTCATTGGTATTTTGATGGGGATTGCATTGAATCTATAGATTGCTTTGGGTAATATGGACATTTTAATGATGTTAAGTTGCCCAATCCATGAACAAGGTATGTGCTTCCACTTTTTTATATCTTTCCCTATTTCTTTTTTCAATGTCCTGTAGTTTTCTGCAAATAGGTCCTTTATTTCTTTGGTCAAGTTAATGCCTAGGTATCTTAACTTTTTGGCCCTGATGGTAAATGGGATTTTATCTTTCATTTTGTTTATGTGGTATATCGCATTTATTGATTTTCGAATATTGTACCAGCCTTGCTTCCCTGGGATGAATCCCACTTGGTCATGGTGAATAATTTTTTTGATATATTGCTGGATCCGATTTGCTAGTATTTTGTTCAGAACATTTTGGCATCTATGTTCATCAGGGATGTTGGTCTGTAGTTTTCTTTCTTTGTAGTATCTTTTTCTGGTTTTGAAATTAGAATTATGCTGGCCTCATAGAATGAGTTTGGAAGTCTTGAATTTTTTGAAATAGTTTGAGGAGAATGGGTGTTAGTTCTTCTTTGAATGTTTAATGAAACTCCCTCATAAAGCTGTGCAGGCCTGGGCTTTTGTTTGCGGGGAGAGTCTTGATTACATCTTCAATTTCCTTAGTTGTTATTGGTCTGTTCAAGTTTTCTATCTCTTCCCGGTCTAGTTTTGGGAGACTATGTGTTTCTAGAAATTTGTCCATTTTGCATAGATTGTCTAATTTGTTGCCATATAATTGTTCATAGTATTTGTTAATGATCCTTTGTATTTCTGTGGTGTCCGTTATTATGTCTCCTCTTCCATTTCTGATTTTGTGTATTTGGATTCTCCCTCTTTGTTTCTTGGTGAGTCTAGCTAAGGGTCCATCAACCTTGTTTATCTTTAGGAAAAACCGGCTCTTTGTCTTATTGATCCTTTGAATTATTTTTTTGGTCTCCATGTCATTTATTTCTGCTCTGATCTTTACTATTCCCTTCCTTCTACTTGCTCTGGGATTTTCTTTTTGTTTGCTTTCTAGTTCTTTAAGTTGTGAGGTTAGATATTCTATTAGTGATTTTTCTTTTTTCTTGAGGTAGGCCTGTAGTGCTATGAACTTCTCTCTCAGAACTGCTTTCGCTGCATCCCATAGATTTTGTGTTGTTGTGTGTTCATTTTCATTGGTTTCCAGGAATTTTTTAATCTCTTCCTTGATCTTCTCAGTAAACTATTCATTGTTTAATAAAATGCTATGTAGCTTCCATGTGTTCAAAAGTCTTTGCATGTTCTTGTTGCAATTGATCTCTAATTTCATGCCATTGTGATCTGAGAAGGTGCTTGATATGATTTCAATCCTCTTGAACTTGTAGAGACTTAGTTTGGTCTTAACATGTGGTCTATCATTGAGAATGTCCCATGTACACTTGAGACGAATGAATTCTGTCGTTTTGGGGTATAATTCTCTGTAGATATCTATTAAATCTATTTGGTCTAGTGCTTCATTTAGAGTCTGTGTTTCCGTGTTAATTTTTTGTCTAGAGGATCTATCCAGTGGTGTCAGTGGGGTGTTGAAGTCCCCTGCTATGATTGTATTGTTGTCGATTTCTCCTTGGAAGTCCTTCAGAAGATTTCTAATATATTTTGGTGCTCCTATATTGGGTGCATATATGTTTATCAAGGTTATATGTTCCTGTTGGATAGATCCTTTCAATATTATGTAGTGGCCTTCTTTGTCTCTAGTTATGGCCTTCATTTTGAAATCTACTTTATCAGATATGAGTAGTACTACCCCAGCTTTTTTTTTTTTTTGCTTTCCGTTTGCTTGAAAGATTTTTTTGCATCTCTTCACTTTCAACCTATGTGAGTCTTTTGTTGTGAGGTGGGTCTCTTGTAAACAACATATATGTGAGTCATGCTTTCTTATCCAATCAGCTACTCTGTGTCTTATTATCAGAGCATTCAAACCATTCACATTTAAGGTGATAATTGATATGTACTTATTTATTTATTGCTATTTTTGTTTAGTGTGATTATATTTTTCTTCCTATTTCTTCTCCTAATTATAGCAGTCTTTTTAACATTTCTTGCAGTGCTGGTTTGAAAAACATGGAAGGCTTCACGAATGTGCGTGTCATCTTTGTGCTGGGGCCAAGCTACTCTTCTCTGTATCGTTCCAATTTTAGTGTATGTGCTGCCAAAGCGAGCACCATCGGTTGATTCTTGTATGTGCCCTGACTGGAGATCAAACCCGCAGCCTTGGCATATGGGGACAGCTCTCTAACCAACTCAGCCACCCAGCCAGAGCTAATTTGCTTATTATCATTGTTTTACAACATTCTGTTGTATGAACACCCCCCAAAGTTTTCATTCTGTTGATATTTGGATTGTTTCCAGTATGCGGCAATTACAAATAGTTTACTATCAGGACATGTACTGATTTCTGCTGGGTGTGCACCTCGATGGAAACTGCTCTGTCGCAGGGTAGATACCAGCTTTATATGCCAGTTTTTGAAAACCTGTTTCAACACTTATTAATATAACGGGATCCTCAAAAATGAAAGTGACTCAGTGTCTCTTGACCTTGGGGGCGGGGACTGAGATCTAAACACAGCAGCATCTTCTCTCTTCCAGGGTGAGCCCACCTCCCAGTGGTCCCCCAGCATCTAGTCCTTGCCTCCTTGTCTCCATGACAGGACCCTGAGCTCCCTGAGGACAATGTCTTTCTCAGCATTGTAGCTCCACCTTCCAGCACAGTGCCCGAGCATAGGAATTCTTGATAAATATTTAATAAGTGAGACTACAAAATCCAGCCAGCCATCTAATTCCTTGGTGAAGTTGAGAAATACATTAAATTTTGAAAACTCATATATTTTTGCCCTCTCTGGTTTGGCTCAGCGGTTAGAGCATCAGCCTGCGGTCCAGAGAGACCTGGGTTCAGTTCCCACTAAGGGCATGTACCTCAGTTGCAGTTTGTCCCCAGCCCTGGTTGGGTCCTGCGGGAGGCAGCCACTCGATGTGTCCCTTTCACATCGATCTTTCTTTCTCTTTCTCTTTCTCTTTCTCTTTCTCTTTCTCTTTCTCTCTTTCTCCCCCTCCCCCCCTCCCCTTCTCCCCCTCCCTCCCCTAGTCTATCTGAACCAAAAATGAAAAAATGTCCTCGGGTGAGTGTAGAAAAGAAAAAAGAAAACTCACATATTTTTTTCTTTGCTTTCAGATATCAAATGGATCCACTATAAAAGTCTTTAAGAAGATAGCAAACTTTACTTCAGGTAACCACATGATGTTCACCTCTGGTTCTCACCCAGCTTTATAAGGTGTCAGCTTCGCCTGCCTCAGACACGTGTCACAGAGGAGAGGTTGAGTTGTTGCCGTGGAATTCTATGGGAGCAGAGAAAAGCCATTTTGATCTGTTTCTAGTCCTGAGAACGTGAGCCCTGCAGACAGGACACTGTTAAGCAGTGGGGAGCCTGGACACCCACCCTGAGGACGTTGCTGCCTCTTAGCAGCCCTACCCTGGGGCAGAATCGTAGCCTCTGGAGCTCCCTGCCCGTCCCCAGTAGGATGGGGCTGACAGATGCCCTGCACAGTGCGAGAAGCTCCTAGAGAATCCCACAGCCCTGCAGATGCTGAACAAACAAGATAATCTGGTAGAGAGCCCAGAGCTCCCAGTGATAGCATTTGCAAAATTCCCAGAATGTGACGAGGAGACAATCTAAAGAGGGAGCTTTTATGGCAAAGTCACTAGGCCGCTTTCCTCTACCTCCCTGGTAGCCTCGGGGCAGAGCACACTGAGCCAGCCGTGAGCAACCCCGAGGTCCAGGTCCAGTCGAAGCAGTCAGTCCTCAGCCCTCAGCCCGGTTCCGGGCCTCCCCGGCAGGGCCTTCTCGGTCTCACACAGTTGGAAGTGGGGCTTCCTGATTCCTGGGTTCAGTATTAGGAGCCGCCTGCTGGGTTCCAACACCTGTCAGTACAGACGGGGATTGCAGGGCTCCCAACGACATACACAGGACAATTTGGTAACGGCCATCATCATCCCCTCAGGCTGGAGTGAGGGGAGCCGTCTTGCACAGGTGGCTGTCATTCTGGCATGGCACATTGGTGTTTGTGCTGTACAGAGTGGAAGGGTTTGTGTTTTTGGCTTCAAAGACTTCAAAGAGCTTGTTACTTGGGGATCTTGTGTTTGGATCTCTTCATTGGACCTCCAGGCAGTCAACACTGCTGCTTCCTCCTGCCCAATCCGCCCAATTCAGCTAAGAACCATTATTTTGATCACTCTCCTGCTAACCCTCCAAACTCCCTGCCCCTCTGTCCTTTTTTTACCCCCCGTCAAAAACCCAGCACTGGGTGACCCCAGCGACCAACCTTCCCTGAACCTCCAACCAGGCGGCCAAGAGGAGAAAGGCAACAGCGCAGCCCTTGTCCCTCTAAACCATGGTGCCCAGAGTGACCGGGCCGTCCGCGCAGCCTACCCCACTGGTTCTCTGGGATCTCATTGTGCGTGCTCCATGCCTCTACCCTCCTCCTCAAAGCCGGACCCACACAGCTCTCCTGACAGCAGCTGACTTTACCTGTGCTTCAGAGAAAACAGCAATCGAACTCCACATCCAAGACCAAACCTCCCCCCGCCTGCCCCTGCCCACTTCCCCCTGGCTTCCCCTGCCCACTCCCCCCTGGCTTCCCCTGCCCTCCCAGGGCTGTCCTCCTCCCACCCAAGGCCCAGCTCTCACCTGGGCTTTGGATTCACCATCTTTTTTGACCTTCCAAGCATTTTGACACCCCCAATAAGATCTTCTGTCAGCTGCGCTTTCTTCCTCCCCCAGTTATTGTGTTTTCTCACTAGCATTTCAAGTGTTCAAAATCTCTCATCTTCAAAACAGAAAACCAATCCCGCTTTTCCCTCCATTCATCACTCCCTTCAGCCGCATTTCTTACCAGACGGCCCTCTCCGCCTGCTGCTCTCCACTTGCTCCGTGAGCTCCACCCAGTCGCCCTTCTTTCAGCTCCTAGAAGGGGTCAAGTTCCTTCTCGTCTTCCAAGCTTTGCCCCATCCCCCTCCCTCCATTCGCCTGGCCAACTCAATCCACTGAGGTTCAGCTCCAACATCCCTTCCTCGGGGAAACCTCCCAGACTAGGTCAGGCCCTAGTTAGGTACTTTCTTGGCATGTGATTCTTCTTCACAATCCTTATCACTATTGTACTTTTAAAATTGTGTAATCAGTACATGAAATTCTCTCCTGGGCTAGAATGTAAATTCCATGAAGGCAGGAACTAGGTCTGTCTCAATGGTGGATGCCTTGTAGCCCCTGGGTGTAGTTGATAATGATCCGCACGTGGTATTTCCGCCAGTTTTTACACTTCCGGGGACCGGGACCAGCCTCCCACTCCAGTCCCTGGCCCGATCTTAAGACACAGCAAGAGGAAAATGTAGCTGTGAAGAGCTAAAGTAGAAGAGCTCAAGTAACCTCCTCATAGTGCGCACAGGGCATTTTATGAGCAGGCCTGGCAGCCCGAGGTTTTGTTTTTAATGGCTGTTTTCTCTCCGTCTCTCCGGCATTCAGATGTGGAATACTCGGATGACCACTGCCATTTGGTGAGTTCAGCCCGCTGTGCTCACTGCCTCGGATGCGTCCCGCAGCGTGGTGGGCTCCTTGGGTAATACTGCTGCTCTGTCTCCCTTTAGATCTTACCAGATTCAGAAGCATTCCAAGACGTGCAAGGCAAGAGACATCGAGGGAAACACAAGTTCAAAGTAAAAGAAATGTATCTGACCAAACTGCTGTCGACTAAGGTACACTCACTGCTCGGGCACTGCCATGACCACCTTGGGGTGGATGTGTTTGACTTAATTTCCACGAACGTGTGAAATTTTTACAAATCCCTTGTGCCTTCTAGCAAAGCAAAATGAAAAGTTTAGATTGCAAACACTTCCTACCCCCTTCTTTTCTTTTTTATAAACTGCAAAAATAACAGCACTTTACAAATTTCTCCTGTAATATCTTCAGTCAGGGATTTAATATTGTTCCCAGTCCCTTTAGCCACCATTCACTTTTGTATTTTAGGTTGACAGGGTAATTACTCCTTTTTGTTTGTTACTATGGATGAGCAATAAAACTCCCTCTTTGAATTGCAAATAAAATGAAGGGGGTAGGGAAAGTCAGGGACTATAAACCCAGTAAATCTTTCATTTTTAAATTAAGAATTCAGTTCACATGTAAAAGTGGAACCTGTGAAAATCAGTGGAATACCAAATTGGGAGCACATTTTACTTTATCTGGCTCTCAGTGGGATTAACAGAAGTTTGCGGTGATCCTTTTTTCTGCAATGACTGGCAGTAGAAATGCTGTTATCCACACCTGGCCTGTCCTGACGGGCATGCCTCTTCAGGGGCCAGCAGAGTCTGCGTGGAGCGGAGATTCGTTTGGTGGGGAGAGGGCTGCCACAGCCTCCTGATTTCCTCATCTGCCCCACAGAGCTCTGCCTATTTGGTTTTTATAAAACACTCAAATGCTTTGTACATACACAAAAAACCCCATGATGAAAATATGTGCAACAGGAAAAATTCTGGGAATGGAGAACATCACTTGAGTTTTTCCAGGATGAACGGAACTAATAAAAGCCAAACATCCGCGGCTTCTTGGTTTATGTATACAGCCCTACAGCTGGGATTTCAGCTGCTAGAGATTTCTGAGCTGTCCTCCCTGTTGGCTAAATTGTGTTGTTATGGGCACGAAGCTTCTGAACCAAATCTGAACCTGGGTTTCCAGCACCACTGTCCCGTGCTGTGAGTGCTGGCATCACTGACAGTGGTCCCTATTTTCTCTTCCGCTTGCTTTTCTGTTTTGCACATCATTTTCTCTGGACTTGGATTTCATTTTCCATCATGTTTCAAAACCGCTGCCCTATTTGTTTTAACCTCCTAAGTCGATGTTCTGTATCTTTCAGGTGGCAATTCACTCTGTGCTTGAAAAACTTTTTAGAAGCATTTGGAGTTTACCCAACAGCAGGGCCCCATTTGCTATCAAGTACTTTTTTGACTTTTTGGACGCCCAGGCTGAAAACAAAAAAATCACAGATCCTGATGTTGTACATATTTGGAAAACAAACAGGTGAGAACAAACATTAGGCGATTACTGACTGTGTCTGAGAATCTGGGACAGAATCTTAACTAAAAGGAGGGCATGGACAGTCACAAAAGGATCCGTTTATC